AGACCACAGTGTTGTGAGACCTGACCCATGATGGGGGTAGGGGGTGGAATCAAGGAAGGGTTCCTTGAGGAATTTACCTTTAAGCCAAGATCTCAAACTTAGAGTTGTCTAGGTGAAGCAGTCAGAAGGACATTCCTGACAGAGGAAATAGTGTGCAGAGAGGCTTGGAGGGTAAGAGTGAGAGGGGCAACAAGGCAAAATAAGGCAGGGCTACCAGGCCTGAGGCTACCAGGCGCAGGGCAATGAATTCTGGGCTAGTGGTTGAAGAGCTGATTTTTCACATTGGGGAGTGCCATGATCAGAAGTGTGGCTTGAAGGAAAGCCTTAAGTGTTATGCGCAGACACTGGTTCCAGAGTCTTCACCTACCCCAGAGAGATCAATTCTAGAGTCCGTGTGTCTACCCCAGGAGCTGGGCTTCTCAGATAGTGGGATGATTTGGGGCCCACACTTTTCTTCCATCGCCTTCTGCCTGTTGGGCGGAAGTGGACCTTTTGCTGCTGCCTTTCGTGACCGAGGGTCCAGTCTCCATTCAGCCTCTTATTAGTGTGATTATCTTCTTAAGTCATGAGCTGCCCAAAGCCGGCAGTTGCCTGCCAGCCCATCATGGTGCCATCGCCATGAGCTATTAGAAAGGTTTATGAGGCCAGGATAAACAGCATGAATCAAGAGGGAGAGACAGGCCTCCCTCCTTCTGCTTACATTGCTGTCACTCAGGGAAAATGCCAGAAGGGGTTGGAAGGAGAGAAGGGGTGGGAGGCAGGGAGGAAAGAATAGAGAGAAGGAGGGAAACAGGATGAAAGAAAGAGGATTGGAGAGAAGGAGGAAGCAAGGACAGAGGACAGGGTAAGAGCTTTCCCGTTAGAGGTGAAGAGAGCCGATAGCAGCGCCTTTTCCACTGCCATTGGGCTGCCTCTGAGCATAACCAGGAATTCAGCCCTCCTTCCATTGATGACCTACTACCGTTGTGTGTCTTTGGGTAAGTCCTCTGCCTTTCTGGGCAGCCAGTTTCTCTCTCTTCCCTTTGGCAGGGCTACCAGCTGCCCTATGGAGAGATGCATGGGCTGCTGAAATGCTCTCCGCCTTTAAAAGAAGTCCTTTGGAAAGCAAGGAGCTTGGTGCCACTCTTCTTACTTAAAAAGCTTTCCAATTACTAACTTGTCACCTCGTGTGCAGGCAGGTTACTGCTGAGAATGTCTTGAACATGCTGGAATAAATAAATTAGCACGGGCACTTAGGGATGCCAGTTTTAATCATAGTTGAGGACTTTGGGGACAAATGCCTTTGCTTTTTTGGTTATCTGCTTTTGGTTTGCAGCCAAAGACCCCCTACCACAAGTTAATAAATTCAGCTCAGAAGACCAAGCTCTTCTTCCTTCTTATCAGCAGAATCAGAGCCGCTGTTACTGCTCTAAGTATTTATGACAGCCATAGAAATTCTTGAGAATTTAAGCAAAGGAGAAGTATTTAAATTACATGAAATTGGAAACTTGGAGGCTCAAGATTTGTTTTGCATTTTTATTAAGCATTTGAGTTTGGGTTTCGGCATTTGATTTATCTCTTCCCATATATCTTTAGAGTCATCATCCATAGGCTCCACTCCATTGGTTTATTTCGAATGTTGTAAAATGGCAAGAAGCTTATGGGAGCCGTGATACTTGAATTCAGGTAGTACCTGACTGTGGTTTGGTGACTGACCATGAAAAGGAAGTAGAGAGATAAACCCTTTGGGTTTTTTGGTTGTTGTTTTTAATCCAGATGGTATATAAAGAATCTTTAAAATGATTTCTTAGGATCACAGTTATTCATCCTTCACTTTAATGAGCACTAGTGACCTCATGCTGCATTGGGTATCGATTGGAATCTAATGACTTACGACTTTGGCCATCATGAGTATCCAGTTGGAGGATACCTTGAGTGGCCTGGATTCTCAAAAGCCCACATACTTATTCTCCAGTGTTGTATATCAAAACCCAAGGTCTGAGTGCAGGCCTGATATCATTTCCCTTGTTTGAAGAAGTGCCATTTTTCAAGGATCTTTTTTTTTTTTTCCATCTTCAGTATGTCTATATTGACAAGTGAAAGGACAACTGCCTCAAAATAGGCATAAAACCTTGGTTCTTTGAAATGTTCAGGATACTCATTCCTTAGTTCCTCTCAACAAATATTTGAGGGGCTACTGTGTTTTAGGCACTATCCTCAGCTCTGGGGTTACAGTAGGAAAGAACAAGTGATAAAGTTTGTTCTGGAGTTTACATGCTAGTGGTCTATTCTGGCTGATTATAATTCTGGTATTTTCTAGTGAACTAAAGAACAAATATCCATGGGTCATCTCATCCACGGGGATTTCTTATGGGCTTTTTAAAGGCTCTCTGGCACCTCTTTTGGGAGTAAGGGAAGCAGGTTGAAAGGCTTCCTAAAATGTCTATCCTAGTGTTCTTAAGAGTTGGATCTCTGAATATTGACATCTTCCAAGGTGGGGCATAAGGCTGAGTATCTATTACTCTGGGCAAATTCTAAGGGTGTAGATTAGACTGAATGTATACTAACTAGACCGTCTCATAGTGACTGGATTTTTAAACAGTTTCTTACCACTAGCTTGTGTCTTATTTCTCCCTTCTCTGGCAAGGTAGAAACACTAGAGAAAAAATAAGCCCAGTTGAGGTAATGGTGTGGTATACTTAGATTCAGGTGTTGTAAAATAGAGGCTTGGGACACTTTGATTCTATTATTCTTTTCAGATGGTTTTTAATATCTTTTCATGGAAGTTTTTGGCATCCTATTCATTAAAATCTGTGTAAGAGGGTTTTGGGTTTTTTTTAATCATTTTGTAAGCAGTTCTTGAGCCCTGAGGACACAAATGTGAAAACCCAAATCTGCATGTCTGCCAGGCTGTAAACAGCATAGTGGGGGAGACAAGGAAAGGAGTTATACCTTAGATAATTAATAGCAAAGTAGAGGTAGGTACATGGTGCTGAGTGAACAGAGACCTGAAGGTGCTTTTTCCATCCAGGGGTGGGGGCTGAGGGTGGAAGATCAGGGGACTGGAAAGGAAGCTTATAAAGGCTTCCTTTATATATATATATATATATATGGGGCAGATCCTTAGTTCTTGACCATGGACTCCTAGCTGAGTTTCTGGGCTTAACTCTGATGGAGACATCAGAAAGGAAATTAATAGAGCGCTCACTGGGTGCTAGGCATGGTGCGAAGCATTTCCTTGCCATCCTATAATCTATTTCCCACAGCTCTTCCTCTAAAGTAGGTAGTATTAGCTCCATCTTATAGACAAAGAAACTGGCACAGAGAGATTGAGTGATATGGCTAAGATCACACAGCTAAGAAGCTATAGAGCTGAGATTCAAACTGCAGTATCTTTGCCTCCAAAGCCAGTGCCCTAACCTCTACATATATTGTGTTTTTGTGGTACTGCTGTGGCAAACTCAGCCCCTCTACCCCACGTAGATAACTTAGGCTGTGTCTTGTAGGGATTCCTCCGTACTTCACCGTGAGCACCTGGGCCTTTCTTCCTTGTCACTTGTATTGATTTCCAGTTAATTCAACACAACCTCTTTCTCCCACTTCTCCAAGGAGCTAGGTGCTATTATGACCCCAAGAGTGTGTTTCAGACCTAACTTGGACTTACTGTGTGGTCTTGGATGAGCCACTTTTAAGTCTCACTCTCCCATTTTCTCTGTGTGTTACCACTTTGGGAATAGGATTATTAGTAATCCTATTGGTATTAAGCAATATTAGCATTTCTGGCTAAAGATGAGGTGAGACCGCCAAGAGACGCATGAAATGATGCTCAACTCATCAGGGAATGCAAATCAAAACCACAGTGAGATCACCTCACACCTGTCAGAATGGCTAATATCAAAAACACCAGAAACAAGTGTTGGTGAGGATTTGGAGAAAAAGGAACACTTGTGCCCTGTTGGTGGGAATGCAAATTGGTGCAGCCACCATGGAAAACAGTATGGACGATCCTCAAAAAGTTAAAAATAGAATTACCATATGATCTAGTGATTCCATTACTGGGTATTTACACAAAGAATACAAAAACACTAATTCAAAGGGATACATGCACCCCTCTTTATGGCGGCATTATTTATAATAGCCAAGATATGGAAGCAGCCCAAGTCTTTATTGATACATGAATGGCTAAAGAAGATGTGTATATGTGTGTGTGTGATATTATTCAAAGAATGAAGTCTTGCCATTTGCAACGACTTGGATGGAGCTAGAGAATATAATGTCAAGCGAAATAAGTCAGAAAGACAAGTATCATGTGATTTCACTTCTGGAATTTAAGAAAAAAACAAAGGGAAAAAACAAGAGACAGACCAAAAACCAGACTCTTAACTATAGAGAACACACTGATGGTCACCAGAGGGGAGATGGGTGGGGGGTAGGGAGGAAATAGGTGATGGGGATTAAGGAGGGCACTTGCTGTGATGAGCACCAGGTGATGTACGGAAGTGTTGAATCACTATATTGTACACCTGAAACTAATATAACACTACTTTACACTGGAATTAAATTTTTTAAAAAAAAATTAAGAAAAAGATGAGGTGAGATGCTTTCATCTATGCCTTTTGTGCCGAGTGGAGCTACAGCTGGACTGATCCACTCCAAACCGTCCCATCTTCTGTGGGGAGGTCATAGTAGCCTTTCAAAGAGCCTAAAACCTCATCACAGCCCGGTCTATTTCTCAGTCTCCACACATCTCTGTGATGCCCCATCGCTCCAAGACTGTCGTCAGTGCAGTTGTCTCTGCTTTAGATGCTGACGACCTTGCCCCAGCTGTCCCTGGAGGACGGCGGCCCGATGAGTAAGTCCTGAAGCTTGCGAGCTGCGTCTCAGCATTTCACATGGCTGCACTGATTGGACAGACCCCAGGATGGGCCTTAGCACTTGGTTGGCCTCAAGGGTCCTGAACATCACTACTCAAAGTATCTGGGGTGATTGTTTATTTTTCTGACTTGTGTTTCCTTTTGCAGCAAATGAAAAGATTGAAGACATCAATGGCTGTCCAAAGAACAGATCACAAATGGTAAGTGGTACATGGCTGGTGTGAGTATTTGTGTGAGAGAAGGAAGCCCTGTCTCTCAATGATACTGGCCATCTTGAAAACATTCCCACCATAAGCTTTCCCCTAGGGGATTATATTAATAAACTAACAGCTATTTCCAAGTAGCTGCCGTCAGCTTCTCTGACATTTGTTGGTATTTACTAAAAAGTGGCCGTGATTTTTTACGTAGATGGTGTGACAGGGAACATGAAACACTGCCCTTTCTTTCAGAAACAAATTATGCAGACCTGGTGGAAACATACACTTGTTGAGAATTTGGACCATTGTGACTCATTCTGCTTTCTCAAAGACACACTACGATCTCTGTATGTGGTGCTGAGGCACGGATGAGGTCATGGTATTTTGCTCAGAAATCGGGGCATGTGGTCTGATTGCCTTTAAAGGTTAGAATGATGTGAAATCACAATGGTGACAGGAGATGTGAAATGTATAATCATATCCAGACCATTCTTAACCTTGACAAGCGATATTCTCTCTGGTGTCATATGCTTAAGCTCTGATATTAAAGCTTTTTTTAAAAAAATGAATCTTTTAACATCTGTTCTTGTTGTATGTCCTGTGCATGATCTTTGAATTAAAATTCATGATCACTGCTTAGTTCAGAAAACATTAAATTGCAATGCTCTGAGTACCTGGTTTTTCCCTTCAAAAGGCTTTCCAAACAATCTTTACACCAAGTATGTATATATCAGACTGTTAAGATGATGCTATTATGCATTTAAAATACAAGTGTGGCAACTTCAGGATAACTTTTTATTTTTGCAGGACATTAATTTCCTTCCAGAAACTTAAGAAAAAGGCATAATCTGTTTTTTCTGACCTCCCCATACTCCCTTTGAGTTGACACATTTAATAGTGTCATTCCGAATATAACAAAGCGATTGGCATTCCTTGGTTTTCCCTTTCAGTTTTTTTTTTTTTTTTTTTTTTTTAAGATTTTATTTATTTGAGACAGAGAGAATGAGAGAGAGCACATGAGAGGGGGGAGGGTCAGAGGCAGAAGCAGGCTCCCTGCCGAGCAGGGAGCCCGATGCGGGACTCGATCCAGGGATTCCAGGATCATGACCTGAGCCGAAGGCAGTCGCTTAACCAACTGAGCCACCCAGGCGCCCCCTTTCAGGTTTTCCAAGTGTTTGTTATCCCAGTGAGTTGGACAGATAACCTTTTTCTTTTGCATGCATAAAGACACATTTTTTTATTCTGAAGAGGAGTATGGGTGGTGGGGAGTCCTTCTTCAGTTTACATTGTGAAACAAGTTTCTCTTTTTTTTGGTCATTTCACTGGGGATTTTGTTTCTTTTTGTTTGATCCGGAGAGCAACCCCTCTTCCGTAGGAAAGTCCCCATGCAGAATCCCATGGCTGCTTTGACTTCTCAAAAGCTTGGCTGCTATTTTTGCTAGCACTACGACGGCAGCTGTCTAGAGTATTAATAATTGAGAAAATTTGGAAGATAGAAGACTTAATTTAGTGCAAGCATTTTACACAGGCAGTCATATCTTCACATGAAAGAGATGCAGTCATTCCCTTTGAGACAGATACGGATGCATTTGTCCCAGCCCATTATAATGCATACAGAGACCTGACATTGGAAGGTAATGAACCTTTTATTCTCTTTGGCACTTTTGTATTTTCTGCGCTTTCTGTTGGCGGTGTGAAAGTCCACTTTTCAAGATTATAAAATAATAACGCCGCCTCAGATTCTTCGGTGCAAATTTAGTTCTGTACGCCAAATGTTATTTATAAATGCTACCATGGCACCAATGTAATTTTGTGGTTTCTCTAACTCTTTCAGCTGTGAAAGTATTGTTTTCTTTTTTTTTTTTCATGGCCTGTGAGGTTTTTTTTTTAAGAATACAGGAATATAAAATCCTATAATTGTCTATGATAATTAGTTCCAGCTTAGGGGCGGGGAGGCAGACACGGTCTGGTGGTAAACGTAGCAGAGAATATTCAGCGTACAGGATGTGAGGCCAGGAAAATGTGAAAACCTCCACCACAGTCATTCCATTCGGTAGGAAATAAGATGATAAAGACAACAGGGCCATTGTCGTTAGCCCTATATCACAAACTGTGACAAATCCATAAGACGGAACCTCACCAAGAGCACACAGGAAGTCCTTCTTGGACAAGCACAAGTGTTGTTCTGTCTACTAGGACCCCCGTGTGTGTGTGTGCGTTTACGCACCTGTATGAGCATATACAGAGCTCATGCATTTCTACTCATGGGAAGCATACTTTGGGAATACGACACAGTGGGTGAGCCACCATTTCTAGATTCCTAGAAGATTAGGCTCCCAACTAGGCTTTATTTCGGGCAGCCCATGATAAAGATTTGCTGTTGCTTGCTACAAATTGCCTATTTGGGGGAGACAGAGAGAAAGACATGTGGGGAACACCATGTTGGCAAGAGGAAGATGACCCACAATGAGGTGAGAACGTGGGGAGTGCACCTGTTCGGAAGGTAACTGCGCCTCCCTTGAAAATAATCAACAGAGTCAATGTGCTCACTCCCTAAGAAAACACAGCCTCTTCAGGAGCCTTGAAGAATGGAACCAAAGAAAGGCAATCCTGGGGGCAGCTGAGTGGCTCAGTCATTAAGCGTCTGCCTTCGGCTCAGGTCATGGTCCCAGTGTCCTGGGATAGAGTCCCACATCGGGCTCCCTGCTCAGCGGGAAGCCTACTTCTCCCTCTCCCACTCCCCCTGCTTGTGTTCCTGCTCTTGCTATCTCTGTCTCTGTCAAATAAATAAATAAAATCTTAAAAAAAAAAAAAAAGCAATCCTGGTTTAGAGCAGGAGGAATGGGTGCTGTTCCAGTTTTCAAGGGGCAAGTTCAGTCCATCAGCTAATCTGCGAGTAGGACCAAGAGCTTTGATTTTTGTGGGTAGGAGGCCCAGCCCCCACACTTCTCCCAATCCACCAGGTTGCTCAGCAGCTCAGGTCTCAAATTCCTGCACTCTGGGCTCTGCTTCAAATGTTCCTTTCCAGTAGGCTGGGGAAGTGAGAGCAGATAGCTCCGGCATTGGGACTAGAAAAATCCGAGGGGCACTGATGCACAGACGTGATGGGTGTGGCGTTGTCCCTTTGAGCCCGCCGATCGATCAGCAAACCTTCGTAGAGTGCTGACCAGTGCTGGCCACTGGATGGGCCACGTGAATGCTCAGGTGAACAAGATGGCGTCCCTGCCCTCCAGGAGCTCCGTGATGGGTGGGCAGGAGAGCAGAGAATAGCCGTGCAGCTGTGTGCACATGGCACAGTGGGGGCCCATTGCCACAGAGAACGAGGGAGGTCTAAGAGTAACTTCTAGGGAGTGAGTCTGGAAGGCGAGAGGGTTCACCACAGGGGAATGATGGGTGGAAGAGGATTCACATTCCTGGAAAATGTGAAGTAAAGCTTGTCAGGGACCCTGCAAAGGAAGGTTTTGCAGCATTTGCTTATGATCCTCCCGAGGTGCCATAAGCTGTATCTGGTGAGACTCCTCTCCTGCGGTGAGGAGTAGGGCATGAAGAGCCCAGAATACAGCAGACCCCATAGGCATGGCAGTCTTCGGGTCTAGGACAAATCTTCTGCATTCATCATCACTCCCCAGATCACTGCATTTTGGGGAGCAACCCCCCACTGGGCCCTGGAGTGAAGTATTTTTAAAGGAAAATACCCATGGTCATCCAGCCCTGGAGAGGGAAGTTCAGTCGTGGGATCTGGGAACTGAAAATGCTACCTGGTGGGAAATGGTAGTTCATGGGTTTATTATTTGCTCTGACTTTTACCTGCACAGTGCCATAAAGTCTGTGAGCCCATTCATGCTTATGGGCACATCCCACCCTCTCGACGCTGCTTTGGGCCCACGTGGTGGAGAGCTGTCCCCAGGGTGAGGCAGAGCCAGAACCATCAGCATATACTGTGACCCTCTGGGGGCCCTTGTAGTATGGGACCGTGACTGTGGGCACGAGGCAGAGAGGCATGGCAGGGACTTGCCTTTCCCTAGCCAGCTGGCCTTAGCTTGTGTTGAAGGAGTCCTTTGGGCAGTTTCAGGCTGACCTCCACACTTTTGGGGGCAATGGCCTTGGAGATGGAGCTGTAGAAATGCTCCCTTCCCCCTCTCACCCACCAGGCCATCCATTTGGCCCTTGAATAATTTTGTTTGCGTGCGTCAGAGCTGGTTAAAATGTTTTGTCTGTTTAGCATTGCCATGGCAACCCAGGGGCATCTTTTTGGCTTTCAAGTGCTGTATTCAGCAGAGTTATGCATTAGTTTGGAAGGAGAAACATTGCCTGGAGCCTGGCCCGAGGGCACTGCCTCTCCTCAGACCCCTGGGCTCCAAGACATTGCCTCACTTTGGAGCCTAGGAATGGCTGCTGCAGGGGATGGTTTTCTTTTTTTATCATTATTATTGTATAGGGCTTGGCTTTCTGTTGTCCATGAGGAGAGGTGCAAAGTTAGCAAGGCCTGCTGGCTCTTTCAGTGGAAAGCCCCAGGCCTGTTTATCCCTCTGGTCACTGATCTCAGGCCCGGGGTCATCTGGGGCCTCAGAGCACTCCAAGAGCTCTGCCTTCTTCCCTTGGTGCTTCCATTTTTTATTTTAAAGATTTTATTTATTTATTTTTAGAGAGAGAGAGAGAGAGTGTACAAGCAAGGGGGAGGAGCAAAAGGGGAGAGAGGAAGGGCGAAAGAATGCCAAGCTGACTCTGCACTGAGTGAGGAGCCCGATGTGGGGCTCAGGCTCACGACCCTGAGATCATGACCTGAGCTGAAACCAAGAGTCAAACCAAGAGTCAGACGCTTAACAGACTGAGCCACCCAGGCACCCCCTTCCCGTAGAGCTTCTAGACGGAGGGCCAACTGGGCTTGAGAATCTTGCAGCCTGAGTTCAAGTTCCTTCTCTGCTATTCTGTGGCCTTGAGCTGATTATTTAACCTTTTGAAGGCTCTATTTCCTTTTCTGGAAAGTGGGGTTGATAACACAT